TCGTCACGAACGTAATTACCCCCCCCAGCCACCCCCCTCCCCCACCCTTCTCCACCTTCCCACCCTCCCACCCACAAGACCAGAAACGCGAACGTCGCAACGTTGTGCAGTTTGTCAGAAAGACGCCGCCCCGTCCGGAAATTTCAAAACGAGGCCGAAACAACTGCAAAATCATCCTGAAGTAGAGAAAAAACCTACCGTCAGCTACGCGACNNAGCAGTAGCAGTAGCAGTAGCAGCTGTAGTAGCGGTAGTAGTAGGAATAGGAGTAGGAGTAGTAAAAAGAATAATAGTAGTAGTAGTAGTAGTAGCAGCAGCAGTAGCAGCAGTAGTAGCAGTAGTAGGAGGAGGAGGAGGAGTAGGAGTGGAGTAGGAGTAGTAGTAGGAGGAGTAGGAGTACTAGGCGGAGGAGGAAGCGTTTGAGTAGTAGCAGTAGCAGTAGCCGTAGCAGTAGCAGTAGCAGCAGCAGTGGGAGGAGTAGTAGTAGCAGCAGCAGTAGGAGTAGTAGCAGCAGCAATAGCAGTAGTAGGTGGAGGATTGCAAGGGGGACGAGGGGGTACCACGCCCACTTGGTGCAGGAGGACGCTTCGCCTTCGGTGTCTAGAAGCAACCATTCCGCTGGCATTCATGCCCAAACCATAACAGTTTCGTGTTACAAGTGCTTACGGTCACCAGAGCATGAACCATCCGTGCTGTTAGGAGCGTTCTACCTCAATTTCCAACAGATGTTCCGGCACCAAGCCGGCGTGACACCTACCACTAGTAGAGGTGGAGGTGGAGGAGGAGGACGTGGTGGTGGTGGTGGTGGTGGTGGTGGTGGTGTTCGTTGCGGTGGCAGCGGTGGTGGGGTAATGGAAGTAGAAGCGGTGCAAATAGGAGAAGGAATCGGGTTAGGTCCTTTTCTTTTCGCCTTTCGCGCATTCTTGCTTTGGCAGGATGTACTCCATTAAAAACATTACCACCCGCCCCGCCCCGCCCGCATCAGCCGTTTCTTACTGCCAAACAATGACACGAATATGTGTTGCTGAGGAGTGGGGCCTAAACCCTAAACCGTCAAGACAATTGCAAGCAGTCGAATCCTGAACTCGGAGCCCTGCCTCTGCAGCTGCGATCACCTCAGGAGCAGGGACCTGGTATGGGTTTAGGGTTGAGGGTGGCTTCTTACAAGGGTTCCTCCTTGGCAAACAACTTTTGGGATACTATTTCTAAGCAAAATTTGCAAGTCATACTTTGTATTGGGCTTTAATAGAAAACATGAAGATTATATTCATCAATAGCCCATTGAAATGGGTCCCTCAAGTGCATGTGGATTTCTACGGAATTCCGGCGTGGTCCCTCTTCTGGGTTCCTTTGGCCGCAATTATTTTTCGGACTTAGAACTCTGGCCTGCTAGTGTGGGCCATGAATTCCTGGGGTCCTTCTAAACATCTATCATATACCCTCTGACTTAAAAGCAATAAGCCCAATTAAGGCCCCATAGTTAGGACACAGGTGACAGGTCGGGGCCATGTCAGGGGACCATGGTTTCCAGGGAGAAGTGGGTCACCCTTGAAGCTAATTCCTAAGCCCTGACGTCTTGGGGTTTAGGCTAAAGGGTTGATGGCTGAAACTCTGAATATCATAATTCTTTTATTAGTATATTCATAAAAGCTTAAAATGTGGCTATGCTGGGGGCTTCTGAAGGATATATAATAGATCACAGAACTACAGGGTAGCTGAAAAGAACTACCCCTAGCCTAAAGTAAGCCTCTTCCAAACTGCCATGAAACGCCCTAAGCCTCAAGACGCGCCGTCAAGGGCAAGCAAGGGCAAAGGCTGCAGGTGAACATTCCCTCAACCAACCTACAACTAATAACGGGATTTGAACCGTCTAGCAATCGTATGATACGCATAAAAGTCCGAATTTCGAAGGTTAGGGCCGCAAAGCTCCCCTAACCCTAAGCCCTGAATGTCATCTTCAAATTCTCCGTAAGAGGCTCTCAAGTCCTGTTCTTGTCCCAGGAGCGTTTTATTTGGGATTCTATACCTCAGTAGCGTAAGGGTTCAGGGTTGATGGTTTCAAGTAATGATAGTAATACCAGATAGCAGAAGATGTAATAATCAATACTACATGAGCAGCGGACAAAATTTGTTGTCTGGCCTATCGCCAAAATTCCCACGCTCGTGCTGCAATCTCGTTCCATCTCGTTTTAGATATTCCGGAGCATGTTGGGGGGGAACATCTGGTTCCCACTAGGCTTAACTTGAGTCGGGCCTTGAATCTTGTTTTCCAACAAATTTGCATTCAAACGCAGTAATGCTGATCTCGTTTTTTGGGGGGGACCATCTGATTTTACATGTTAAACGCATGATTTCAGGGAATTCTGACCGACGTCAGACATGCTTCAAGAGACGGAAGTTTAGTCCGTCGCTCACACAGAATCAGATTTGCACCTTTCTTTGGGCTTTACCATTGCAAACACAACCCTAAACCCTAAACCCAAAGTAATGTTCGTACTAAAAGCAAGAACAGTAGTAATAGCAACAGCAGGAATATAATTAATGAACAGATATACTTAATAGTACTTGTAATCATAGTAGGTTTGGGACGCGGAGCGTACGATTGAGCGGCTGGCGCTTAGACCAACTGATCAGGGGGTAGTTTCCCAAAATAGTGGGACCCCGATATAGACCCCAAAATACTATAGCCCTTATTATTGGGGGCCCCAAACTGGTACCCCTAATTTTGGGAAACCCACAGGGTATGCTGTACAACAATTTTGTTCAGGGGTTGATCGGCGCCAAAGTCGTGTGACAGTTTCGGGAGCCTGTGTAAGATGAGGGCTGAGAATGTTTAGGGTTTGGGGTTTTTAGGGTTGAGGGGTTTAGGGTTTTTAGGGTTTAGGGTTTAGGGTTCAGGGTTCAGGAGGACACTCTGACAAAGATCCTTGCAAGGAAACCTCATACCGTTGCGGCCATACATATGTGGGGATGACGGGATTACGAATTTGCACGGGTCCTGTTCAAGGACTAGCTGACTAGCGGATTTAGGCTTTAGAGTTCAGGGCGTCCGACTCATGTTTGCAAAAACCTAAAAGGCCAAGCATTCATGCACATGAGCTATAGTCTAAACTCCTACTATCCCCCCAATAACTCCCATAATAGTCCCCTATAGAATCCCCTATATAAGCCCCCTTTAAGGAGTTTAGGCTATAGCTCACATATGATGGAAGCATCTTCAAGGAGTCTCCATGTTTTTTGGGAGACTGTCCAATACCAAAGAATTTTCCACACATGAACATTCACAGAGAAAAACACGAACTCAACAGTAACACCGTCTACCCTCGACCTTGAACCCTAAAATCTTCGCCCTAATACGTAAATCTGAACCCCAACCTCTAAACCATGCACTCTAGACCATGCCACACACACACCCCCCCTCCAAAAAAAACACACAAACACACACATATAGCACCTGTAAACTGGAGTGTGCCTCTGCAAGACTGCTGAGTTCACGGAGAGGCTCAGGAACTGGAAGCTCCTCTTTCATTGATCCCTTCTCTCTATTGAGTATAAGAGTATTGGGGTTGTATTGGGGATAATGGCAAAGAAAATGGAATCTATTGAGTATAGTAGTATTGGGGTTATATTGGGGATAATGGAAAAGAAAATGGAAACTACTATTTAGGGTTTAGGGTTTAGGGTATAGGTTTCGGGGTTGAGGGTTCAGGGTGTACAATGGCTGATTAAGGATGTTGTTCCAATGATGGAGAATCAGTCGGAAAAGAACATGGAAGATCACATGGAACCTGGGGTTACATGAGCTATAGTCTGAACTCCTAGTATCCCCTTAAAAACTCTTATAGTGGTCCCCTATAAAATCCCCCATATGGTCCATGCTAAGGAGTTTAGACCCCAAAGCCTAAACCCCATATAACACCCTTTTAAGGAGTTTAGACTATAGCTCATATATAGAGGATTACTTTGCTGGGTGGAAATCGCAAAGTGTGTCCTTGCAACCTTTTTATACAATCCGTTATTACAGCACAGGTATTCACTCCCCGACTCTATCATCCGGGTGATTGTCAAAATTATGGTCCCGTTTTGGGTACCTTAAATATCAGGCGCCGTACTATAGTAGGGATCCAAAAAGGGACTATAATTTTGACAGCCACCCATATCTATCATGGGTCTTGATTTTCTGAGCTGGGGTTACTGACGTCCTCTCATCAACAAAAATGAACGCTGTCACCCGAAATCCTAAGCCCTAAACCCAACCCCCTTCTTGCGGAGCAAGAGCTGTTTGCAAACACTGCACTCAAAAACCCAAGTTTAAATTGTAGAGGGTTTAGGGACTAGGGCTTAGGAAAGTAAACTCCCCAATATCAATGTGAGCCCAAAACCTTGGTGATTACTTACGCCCCTGCAGAAAAATCGGTAAGGAGCATGGATGGTAACTGCAACCTAGAAGCCCCCAACAAAGCAGCAGCCATTCACTTGCAGGAGCTTCCGCTTGACCGGTCAGGGTCCTACCCTTCGTATACCCGAACCTAATGCAATGTCCATTGCGTGCAGCCCACGTGATTGGAAGAACGCTTTTGAAAAGGGTGTCAAAATAGCTATTCCAAGAAGCTTGGCGGTGATAGAGGCACTTGAACTGTGATCGCTGTCCAAAGATACGGCTCGGTATCATACCTATCTTTGGAAGTCCCGTAAAATTTTCGCGGACAACCCAAGTAGCAATACATTCTTCCAGTAAATAATGCTACAGTCCAGCAGAGAATCGTGTCTTATTACCTTTACTCTATGGTAGTTTCCCGAAATAAGGGGAACCCAAATAAATCCAACAATGCTATAACCATTATTATGGGTACCCCCTAAAATGGTACCCCTGGTTTTTCGGAAACCCTAAGCATTACTCCCTAAACCCGATATAAGCCTTATGTGACCCTTGACACACCTTCTAAAGGTACGCCTTTTGCAACCCCCATCTTGTTTACTTCGAGCTCCAGAAGAATACTCATATCACTCTAAACCCTAACCCCCCCAAAAAATGGACAGTAACTCATGTCAAGTGCTCCGCGCTCCTCTCCGGCTGCTTCGGCTGGTGTTGAACGTGGCGTGGAATCATGCTCCTCTTTCTCAATTCTGGGTTGCTGTTCAGACTGTTAAGAAGCTTAAATTAAGATACTATAAAATGGGATTGCAGTAAATAGTAGAGGTTCATACTTTTCCTCAACAGCAACCCGGTTTTTCTTCCCTGCCCTCTCTCGTCAAGAGGCAACATGCGATCCTGGTAGGCAACATGTAATTTTGTCATGTGAGCCTGGCACATCACACCTATTGAGCTGAACTGTTGCCTGGCAGCTCTCACCCCTTGGACTGTCAAAATCAGAGTCCTTTCTTCATTGGGCTCACCTACTCCCCCCCCTATGCTCCCCCGCCCTAGGTTACCCCTTAACTAAGCTTCATGAGGCCTACTTATCCCTAAATGACCTTGACTAAGGGAGGAACCTAGGGGGTAGACTCCTAAACCCTAAACCC